CCCACGCCAACACAATTTCATTCTTCTCCCTTATGTCCCCCAGCTCTAACATTGCTTATGCTGTCTGGTGCAAATAACTGCATGTGAAAGCATCTTCACTGCCTGTTTTCTTACCATTTCAATCTCCTCAGCCATCACGCTGCTTCCATCATCTTGCATCCACTCTGAGCTCTTCATCCTTCATAAAACTCCACCACCCTTCTCAATATCCCATATATCTCTGCCCTTGTTTGTATCCTGTCCCTTGAAGCCCTCTCTCCTCTCTGGCTTACGCACTCCCCTATGCTATCTTTTCATGCTTCTAGTTTTTTTCCTCCTACAGATAATTAATGCCTTTCTGATCCCCATTCACTGCCGGTTCTGTCCCACCTCAGTAAGACTATTCTGAAACTCACCCCCCACCAAAACTACTTCTTCCCCACTGGCCCTTCTGGCTGAAATGACCCCATCTACTCCAGCTTGCTTATCTACGCTGAGAACCCACACACTCTCTGCTAAAATCAGTTTACATCTCGGATCATTTCACTTTTATTTAATCTTTGTAATTTGTGACTTACCATATGGAGCGAATTCCTGACTAAACGACTGCTTTCTCAGGGTTTTTACTACATTGGTATTTTACCTCTTTCTTTCAGGTACTTCACAGAAATGACCTACAAATCACAATCTCTGAAAAAACAAGCACGTGTGACTGTCCTGTGCTGCAGTCCCTCCTAACAAGAATGCAGGCACTGTCTCGCCCTTCCTCGGTGCCTAGATGATGACATGACTGTACTTCGCTGCTGCCAGTCTTTAATGCAGCTGAGCAACTGGAGCATCTCTCTCATGAGGAAAGGCTGAGAGACCTGGGGCTGTTTAGCCTGGAGAAGAGAAGGCTGAGAGGGGATCTCATCAATGCTTATAAATATCTAAAGGGCGGGTGTCAAGAGGAAGGGGCCGGACTCTTTTCAGGGGTGCCCAGCGACAGGACAAGGGGCAGCAGGAACAAACTGGAACACAGGAAATTCTGTCTGAACATCAGAAAAAGCGTCTTTAATTTGAGGGTGGCAGAGTGCTGGAACAGGCTGCCGACAGAGGTTGTGGAGTCTCCTCTGGAGATATTCAAAACCCGCCTGGATGCATTCCTGTGCAACCTGCTGTAGGTGAATCTGCTCTGGCAGGGGGGTTGGACTAGACGATCTCCAAAGGTCCCTTCCAAACCCTAACAGTCTGTGATTCTGTGAGCCATAACTTCTAGTGCAGCCTGAGCAAAGTCCCATGTTTTGGGCCCCACCTTCCATTTGCCCTTAATATCTGCATCCTATGCATTTTATACGTGATAGTGCTACTGCCTCTCTGCCATGTATCAGATGAACTTTGCCAGCTGTTTGGTAATCCCCTGACCCACTTCGTCTGCCACATAAGGGATTGGAGAGAAAATAAGGAAGCACATGGGAGAATTTGCTGTCTCACCAGCAGCAGCAGTCTAGTGCAGCAGAACCTCACCTCTCATGTGGTCCAATGTGGTCTGAAGCCTGCTGGTATCCCATGCACACTCATCGCCTGACCTGATGCATACCCTTGTCACACGGTCGGAAGCGACAGTCTCACGTATGGCAAATGCGAGACATCATCACTGAGAGATGGACAGCGTGCCCAGGGAGCAAGATCTGTTCACAAGGGTCTGGGAGTGAAGTTTCGGTAAAAGACTTAGTCTGTCTTGAAATGAAACACTGTTCTTCATTTTTTTGCTCCCTGGGCACCTAATGAGAGCACGCAACATGTAATTTATACTTTGCCAAGAATTTCGGACATCTGGAGAGATTACTGTAACTATCACAATAATTTGGGATGGATTAATTGAGGATGCACGCAATTTTGTGAGGTGTTAGGTCCTGATTAAATGCTCTTTACTGTGTAGTCACATTTTATTACAACTTACATATGTTTGGAACACTGATAGAAAAGAAAGCATGTCACCTATTTACAATCACTACACATTTACATTATATTATTTACAGATAAAGAATTTAGTAATATATATGAGCAGAAAATATAGCAAATATCAATATGAAACTGTACAGGGCTTAATCTCATGTCCTTTACTGTGGTTGCATTTCACTGTAATAATAAATACAGTTCTATATTTACACATCTTACTTTAAAAAATCTATTAAATGAATTTTAACAATTTCAAGTTTAAAATATCTGATCAAAATATTTCAAACATGCTTATAAAAATAAGACACAAAGCCTTTCGGACTTTCTGCAAGCTAAAAAAGTTCTGATAAAAGAAGCTTTCTTTAACTAGTCTTTAGAATTATAACATTATTTTGCTTCTCAAATCACTTTACAAACTTCTTAAATATAGCGAGCTGAAAGGAATTTCACTGACATTAAGCAGTGCAGCACAGATGGACCCCAGTTAAATTAAAGCTAAGTAAACATGGTAATAGGTATTGTGCAATGGTTGACTGATCCTCTGTTTAATCCAAAGTGGTTTCAGGCATCGTTCTCCAGCTGTATGCTGCACTGCTTCAAAAGCCACAAGAGATAAAGGATTAAGATAAGTACTCAGCTGACTGTATCATACATAATTTCGGCATCGGTTCATACTTTTTTTCCTGAAGGATGAACATGTCAGCCAAAGTCAACTGATGCCATCTGTAACTGCAAAACTAAAAATATGCCAGTGTGAATGGACAAGAAAATCAAGGCATACCCATTGTTGGCAACAAATTCTTCATTGTGAAAATCCATCCTTTGAGTCCCAAGAAGTTTTATGTACAGTAACAGACGAACAACAGAGATCATCTGTAACTGATTACCTTAATTATTGGCCTAGCCTAACCTTGGTAATGTTAAAAAATTAGTCTCATTCACCTGGAGGTTGAGTGGCCATTAACTGAGCAGTGAGTACTGGGCTATTAAATGTTACTCCTCTGGGAGCTATTTTTAACAACAAAAGAAAGTAAATTTTTGCACTTTTGTGTCTTAAATGATCAACTCACTTGAGCAAAAGGTGCCAGCTCTGAGAAAAGAATACTGGAATAGCCCCTGATGGCTTGGCCAAGGTCAAAGACTGATATTCTAGGGAAGCAAAGGTGGCCTTGTTGTCTGAGATATTTTGACAGTAGACTTGACAAAGACCTGAAGTCTCTTCTCTCTTAACTGGGATGCTTCTGATGTGTAAACATACATGCCTTGATTCAGCAAAGCATTAACAGATTTAAAGCCAGAGAGAAACTCTGTGTTAATCTAACCTAACCTTTTCCTAAACTAACGCCATCAGAAATCCCTGAACTCCAGCAGCTGCTCCAATACCTTTTTTGGCAATATATCCAATTTGAATTTAGCCATTTTTGGTGACAGATAGTTCCACTAGCTAATGACCATCACTGTCAACAATTTGCACCTTTATTTCTATGCTGCATACCCCTAACGTCAACTTCCAGTCGATCTTACCAGATTCTTCTCCTCCTGACTGAGTGGTCCCCTGCTCTCAAACTTCCATTTCCCAGAAGTAGCTACTTACAAACTGTGATCAAACCACTTCTTTCTTAAGCTGCTTTGAATTTATGATACTCATACCCTTTTCAATTTCACAACGTTCTTTACAGTGTGTGAAGGGAAGAACTGTTTGAAATATCCCAATTGTGCTTGCCACAGCATTAAGAACACAGATCATACAACCTCTTCACTCCTACTCGATATTGCCTTGGCTAAAGATATGGGCTAACCTCTAAATCTTCAGCTGACTAGTGACCATGAACTAGAGGCTTTCTAGAATCACTGTTTCACAGGACAGAGAACTGTGCCATGAGCAGGACTACAGTTTTTGTTCCTAGGCGAATGACCTTAAATGAATGTTTCTATGTGAGTGTCTTTGGTGTCCTTTAATTGCCCTCAGCATGCCGGTCTTTTTGTATTGATGACTTTTTATGTTGTATTTTTCACCCTCAAATTCTATGAGTCATCTGCCAATTTTATCAGCAGTAATTCCGGGAGTAAATCCACTGGCATGGTAGCAATTCAGGACCAAACTGTGCAGAACCTCACTAGAAAAATATCCATGTGATAATGGCTTGCCATTTACAATTACATTTTAAGTGCTTAACAGGATCTTGATCAACTTCTTTCACACCACGTTACTTTAATAGATTTAACTGACAATTAAAAATGCTTTGTCAAGTCAAATGACTTCTAAAAACCAAACCCAATGCCAGTTGAACTATGAAATCAGCTTTATCAAACATGGAACTTCATCGAAATCTATTCTGCAGAAACCTTTAGGACTTCAACAGGACTACTCTTCCACTTAGACACCTTGTCGAATGAGGGCCATGCACAGATGCACATCATGGCACCGAAAAACTATTATTAAAACCAAATTACAATAAATGGGAAAAAAACCCCTCAACCCCTGAAAACAAATCGTACCAGGTGATGCTTTGAAAAAAAACCTTACCAATTTAACACGGTATTTTTGCTCTTGACCAACCGATGCCCTTTCTGAGTAGTGCTACTTTAAAAGAGAGCAGCTGATACACCGCACAAAGTGCAGCGGCTTTCAGTTTCTCTCTTTGTCTCAGCATTTCAGAAGCAGGCTGAGAAGGCTCAAGTATTGGATTTTCAGCCTGCTGCAAGTTTTGTCATTGTCTGTTTTCTGATGCGTGTAACAATAATTCAGAGGCACTCTCTTGCTTGTATACACACACCCATACTTACTTTCAGGATTAAAAAATTTGTAAACATAGGTATTTTCTGTACTGCCACTGAAACTAGTGACACGGAACAAATGCGACCGATGAAAGATTGCAGCTTTCTGTCATTTGATAAGACGACGGCATTAGTGAATTGCTGGTAGGCATGTCATATGATATGCTGGCACTTGTGAAGGTTACCAATGCTTGTGTTGAGTCACAAGATTGTTTTTCTATGTCTTCTGAATTCACAGAGATCAGACTAGCGTGTTTTGATCTCCTCCACAACAAAGTTTGCTTTCGCAGACTTCCCAAGTCCTCCTTAAAGTGTGGATTGAAAAGTATATAAAGGAGAGGGTTTAGACATGCAGGCAGTGGGACAATCACTAGCAGTATTGATTTAATCACTTCTGGGCTGATAAAAGTGAGGTTTAGTAAGGAGGAAAAAGATAAGAAGGCAACAGGGCAATAAAGAATGCAATTAGTAAAAAGTAGCAAGGCTATATGTTTGACCATAGAGCAATCCCAAATGTTGTCTAGTTCGCCCTTTTCTAAACTACAGTAGAGCTTTGTATAAGCAATAGTCATTACCAGAAAGCAAAGGGAGTTCAGCAATACCAGTGCTACCATGTAGCCCATAGCCGTGGGTTCTCCAAATGGTAGTGGTAAACAAAGCGGAGAAACCCCATACTCACTCCCAGTGAGGAGTGGTATCACTGCAATGATCAGTGCCAACATAAAGCAAAAGAAAATGGCAATTTTTACACTAGCAATGGAGGATTTTGTTTCAAACTTTGTAGCGTGCTTTACAGAGAATGCACGTTCAAGTGCAGCCAGGGTAAGGAGGAAAATGGAAGCCTCTGAAGCAAAAATGGAAAGAAGGCCAGTTATTTGGCAACCGATTCCACTTTCCCACTGTGCTCCATACTGAGCAAAGCTACCAAAAGTTGATGCGTCCACGCTAGCCAGTACTCCGCTGGCCAGACCCATAAAGGCATTTACAATAGCTATTAAACCGATCAAGAGTTTTATGGAGGACATATACAATGGAGATCGGAAAACTGTAGCAGACACCAGCGCATTGCAAACGAAGGTCAAACCCACTATGGTCCACACTCCAATCCTGATCAGCCAGCTACCAAACAGATGGTCACATGGTTTGAAGGGACCTGAAATGACAAAGTAAAAAGGGCAAGGGAAACCCATGTAAACTAAAAAAGTCATTTTGTGCTTTCCAAGACATTAAATTTCATGCTTTTCACAGGTTTGCAGCACAGCCAAGCAGTGAATTTCAGTCCAAAAGGGGAACTGGAAATTTGTTTTGCCTTTGGAGTAATGCGAGACCTTGATAACATGCTGCTTATATGCATGTGGCATTACTGGTACACATGAGCTTTTGTCCCTCAACCCGAATAGTCTATGGGTTTCTTTTTTTTGCCTAGAAGTCCAAGTGCAATGCGGATGTCCAGTCTGTAGTTTCAAGAAATGCTGTGATGTTTGTCAGTGTGTGAAAAAAGCTGAAAAAGATACCTCTCACTAAACTATAGGACAGGTTGCCAATGAGTCCTGGTGAAGTGTGATGCACTTTGGCTACCTTATAACACAGTCCCAGAAAATTGAGGCTGTCTTTGCATTTGGAAATGCTGCCTTTCTGGGGGACTTCTGATGATCTGTGGCTGAATTCAGGTCATCATGATTGAAGCTGTGTATTCTCATAGAATTGAGGTGCATATGCTGTGTGGTTGAAGCTGAATGCTCTGCAGTCTGAGAAACAGTATTTACCTTGGTACAAGCCAACGATGCTCTCTCAAAGCAGGTCCTTCACAGTGGTCTGTGCTTCTCCATGAAGACACAAACCATACAGCTGAGATGTGCTCCATATGACTACAGCCGTTGCCACCAAGTAGGCATAAGCATCGTGTCAGTTTGCACATTTTTCTAAGACACCATTTGAAAGATCAACATGGAAGCTACGTTTTCTCTTGGGTCTGGTGATAACTTACCTTGAAGACAGCAACGTTTTTGTGAACTCAGTAGTTATATTTAGACCATAGGAGAATATGTGACAGTCAAATGGTTCTAAATTCTTTGGCTTCCTGCCTTTTCGATTCCTCTTTACATAACTTTTAAAAATTTATTGTTATTTACTGTTACAAACAAGAATCTTGGCTTGGAATGAATGCTCAAGTACTAGTTGTCACTTGGGTTTTTTTGTTCATGTTTCACAATGAAATAATGGCTAGGGAAAATGTTTGCTGAACCAAAAAAGCAAAACTTATGATGACCATGGCTGCTAAAGCTAGAATCAACCTCCCAAAGACACGTTTCTTTGCTTGCCTTAAAGGAAACTTCCAGTGGAACTGGTGGCCTGTAGCTTTGCAATTCAATCAATGTCGTTATTTTTCCTTTCTGCCATGCTGTGAAGCCAGGGATGCACTATTCTATAAAGCAAATGACAGTGCTGGGGGTCCTTTGTGATGGACTGTGTATATCAATATAGTAGTGTTTGGTATTTCCTTGACATTGAGCTAAACTGTGTGTTGTTCAAGAAGCTCAAGTGTAGAATAATTCAATGACGTTCAGGAGAATTACTTTAGCTTTGCAAAAGACTGAGCGAGCAGAGAGTCTGCCCCCCTTTATCATCTGTGTCTTGGTAGAACAGTCTTTGCTCTCCCTCATTCCCTTGAGAACGGGATCAATTCCTGTGAAAAGGGGCCCGGAGTGAGAATCTACCTGAGGACTGGGTAAAACTTTTGTTACTCTCATAGATGAATTTAGTAGCTGAATAGTTTTCTGGACTTCAATGCAAAATTTTATATTATTGTGCAATGTATTTGTATTAATCTCATCAAATTATTGCAAAACACCATGTTACTGGCTTAATATCAGATTCAGAGTTTGTTCTGTATCTAGAATATCTGGTAATACTGTGCTTGGATTCTTATCTGTCTGGCAGTTTCCTACCTGGAGAAGGTGAGCATTGCACTGAATGATGAGCTTTCAAATCTTCTTCAAAGTCAAGAAAAAAGTCTTCAAAGTCACGCTCATCTGTAGGGGAGAAAATACCCAGATTTGATACTGCAGTTTTAAGGAAAATTTATTTTAGTACAAATTGCAAAAATGTCTATGGCATTTAAGGCCTGGTCTTGTCCCTTTACCTGCCAAACTGTGAACAGAAGCAGGCGTAAACCTACTAGGTTTTGAATTACTGAACTCAGGATTCTTTTAAAGGTTGGCACCATTGCTTCTCTGAAAATAATCACTTACAGGTACATTCTCCATTACATAATTTGCAGTGTGATGACTGCCCAGGAAGGAATTTAAAATAGGAGTTCTGCTCTTGTACCAGGCTACTAAGAATTCACAGAAAAAGTCATCGAATCATAGAATAGTTTGGGTTGGAAGGGACCTTTAAAGGTCATCTAGTCCAACCCCTCTGCAATGAGCAGTGACATCTTCAACTAGATCAGGTTGCTCAGAGCCCCATCCAACCTGACCTCGAATGTTTCCCGGGATGGGGCATCTACCACCTCTCTGGGAAACCTGTTCCAGTGTTTCACCACCCCCATGGTAAAAAATTTCTTCCTTATATCTAGTCTAAATCTACCCTCTTTTAGTTTCAAGCCATTACCCCCTGTCCTATCGCGACAGGCCCTGCTAAAAAGTCTGTCTCCATCTTTCCTGTAGGTCCCCTTTAAGTACTGAAAGGCCACAATAAGGTCTCCCCGAAGCCTTCTCTTCTCCAGGCTGAACAACCCCAACTCCCTCAGAGTGTCCTCACAGCAGAAGTGCTCCAGTCCTCTGATCATTTTTGTGGCCCTCCTTTGTACCTGCTGCAACAGGCCCATGTCTTTCTTGTGCTGAGATCTCCAAAGCTGTATGCAGTACTCATACTCATACATGAGTGGGGTCTCACAAGAGCAGAGGGGCAGAATCACCTCCCTTGACCTTCTGGCCCGGCTTCTCTTGATGTAGCCCAGGATACGGTTGACCTTCTGGGCTGCGAGTGCACATTATTGACTCATATCCAGCTTTTCATCCACCAGCACCCCAGGTCCTTTGCGGCAGGGCGGCTTCTCTTGATGTAGCCCAGGATACGGTTGACCTTCTGGGCTGCGAGTGCACATTATTGACTCATATCCAGCTTTTCATCCACCAGCACCCCAGGTCCTTTGCGGCAGGGTTGCTCTCAATCCCTTCATCCCCCGGCCTGTATTGATACTGGCAGCTGCCCTAACCCAGGTGTAGGATCCTGCACTTCGCCTTGTTGAACCTCATGAGGTTCACACAGGCCCATTTCTTGAGCTTGTCCAGGTCCCTCTGGATGGCATCCCATCCCTCAGGCATGTCAACCCCACCACTCAACTTGGTGTCATCCACAAACTTGCTGAGGGTGCACTGCACTCCATCCCACTGTCTATGTCATTGATGAAGATATTGAACAGTACTGGTCCCAGTATGGACCCCTGAGGGACACTGCTTGTCACCCATCTCCATCTGGACATTGAGCCATTGGCCACTACCCTCTGGATGCGACCACCTAACCAATTCCTCATCCACCAAACAGTCCACCCATCAAATCCATATCTCTCTAATTTAGAGGAAAGGATGTTGTGGGGGACCGTGTCAAAGGCCTTACAGAAGTCCAGATAGACAACATTCAGAGCTCTTCCCTTGTCCACTGATGTAGTCACTTCATTATAGAAGGCCACTACACACTGGTCAGGCAGGACTTGTCCTTGGTGAAGCCATACTGGCTGTCTCAAATCACCTCCCCGTCCTCCATGTGCCTTAGCTGGGCTTCAAGGAGGATCCGTTTTATGATCTTCCCAGTCACAGAAGTGAGGCTGACAGGTGAATTAACCCAAGTTTTACTGTGTTTCTTATGTGATCACTCTACCATGTATTCTTGGCTCTGTTCTTGCTGGGGCTAGCCCTGAACTCTGAGACTTACTGGTTTGCAGGAGTGCAGATAGCACAGAAAGCAGCAGGATGGTATAACATGTATGTGTGCACCTATGTAACAAGTAAGAGGTCAAGTAACAGACCTTGTGCTGAAGGGGAAGAAAAGTACAGTAGTCTTCTGTCCTGGAGAGCAGATGCACTCTCTGGTACCTGGGAAGTGCCAGGAAAAAATATTGGCAGCTATGCCAAAGTAGCCACATAAGGTCTGTGACTCATCCTGAAGCATGTGGACAGCAGGAGAGCCAAGGATGCGTTGCTACTTCCAAGCCTGGCAAGAAACTGGATCTTTGCTGGCCTGTTCTTGTATGGGGTTACATACCAGCACCACTTCCCTGTCTCTCAAATAAAGGGAAGATTTCACTTACCACATTATTATTTGGAGGGAAAGATGAGCGAGTGAGATTTTTGAAAGGCAAACCTGAAAAAATGAGTTTCCTAAGCATAGGAATGCTTGAATAACATATTATTGGTCAAAAGAGAGGGAGAGGCTGCCTCTGACTGTAAAAGAGTACTGGATTTGTTTAACATCACAGGCTGCTCACAGCCTTCAGGTACATTTAAAAGCCAAAGATTGTGATTACCTTGAATTTGTAATAACCCAGCATCCTTCCTGTGAAAATCGTCAACGCTGCTATTCTCATCTTTATTCCATTGGCTGGAGATTTTGTAGTGGCTCTCACAAGCTCCAAAGGCACAGCACTGATAGGCATAAGGCATTTCCATGACCCTGTAGAAGAATAAGGAAGCAGCACCAGAGTTACTGGATTGTACCACTCCTCTACAGTTAACACGAAGGAACTTGCTTAAATAACCATGACTGAAAGTAAAAATATCTATGGGTAAAAATCAGTCATGATAATGCAAAATGAGGATTGACAAATAAAATTCCACATCAGAAACACAGATGATGTCTAGGCTAATTTTAGCAAAGGCACAATGAAGTTTACTTATGCATTTTCATGGGAGATACGAAAGTGGGGGATAACGTGCCTTGCAGTTGAGTGAATGTTACTCTTAGAGCTGTATTTCTACTTCATGATTTTGAATGATTTTACAGTGTAACTCAACAGTTTCTCCATGTTACTTTCTTAATGGTTTATTTTAAAAAAAAAAACAGATCCAAAGATCACAACTGCATCTACTTGCCTACCAGGCAAAACCAAAACATCACTTCGCAAATGGAATTTCTCCAGTCTGGGGAGAACGAGAACTTTTAGAATTCAAACTTTATCCACCACTTTCCATATCCAGCTCTTTTCACAGAAAGATGGCAAAAAGGAGATTATCTTTTGTGCACAGATCAAGAAAGTGGTGTTCTAAATCAGGAGGTGAACGAATCAGAAGGAACAGATGTAACTGAGGAAAAGGTTTTACTTTATTAATAGTCTTAGAAATGAGCATGGTCATTGCAGGACACTGGATGCTAACTCCTTTAAGATCATTGGTATTCCTAACACATAATTGAGTATAGGTCAGTGAGTTCCAATGATTTTGAGGGTTTCTTTCATCAGAAAATCGCTCATTTCCAGTATGAGCTGAATTTAATTCCTTTGGGGACGTGCAAATTCTGGGGTAGCATGGAAGAACTACACATATTTAAGTTCTACAGACTACTTCAATTCCTTAGATATGCTTTACACTCTGGAAGCAGAGATATTTAATTTGCAGTTTGCCAATAGTACACAGTAAAACCTAACAACTCACCTTAATTCCAAAAGCCCAACAAACCAAAAAAATTCAAAGATAAAGAGGTGATTAGAAGTTATTCTGACTTAACTTAAAAGGAATAAAGTAGAACTATATCTTCCTATCAGATTACTTTCAACAGGTTAATCATGTAAATTAACATAATGAGCGTTCCAAGCAACCTCTAACCCCCTGGGAAATCTGCAAAGAAATCAGTTTGAACCAGGCCCAGTGCCAACAGGACTTAAACTTGTGTGTGAGCCAAAAGCTTGGTACAGAGGGGAACAAACGGAACCCTAAGCTCTAAAGTGATTTTTAAATTAGTGCATTTTGGGGCACTTAGATTCTATATACTTACATTTCTGTTGGGAATTAGCAATAACAATCTACCTGGTACCTACTACCAAAAGCTACATAAAGTATTTTTAAGGTACTCCAATAAAAGTTCAAGGTAACCAAGATCTAACTATCAAGCAACATCATGCCAGCAGATTTAAATATTTAATTTCTAACTCATTACTGTGCATGCCATCTTTTAAAATAAGGAGATTATCTCAATTAAACATTTTTGAACACATTTCCCAGAAGCCCTTCTTTAAATTATTACTAAACCCATAGATTACTAGACTACTCCATAGCTGGCCACCTGGGCTGAACCCAATCCCAATCCCCAACTAGAAATGCCCCTTTTCTGGAAAAAAATCCCACAAACAACAACAAAAACTTATCAAAAGGAATGCTGACAGTTCTGCAAGGTGATCACTGCAACTTGTGGCTTCAGACCTTTTTGAAGACACTGGTACAGCTGGGGAAATGAACAGGTAGTGGATATTTTAGGCTCAAGGGACTAACAAACAGACATGTATTCTCTGGTTATTCAAACAGCTCTGTATGTTTCATAATGACAGACTTACAGATGCTGTTGGGCTTCTACCAGCCTGCTGGCTTGCCATACACAGGAAACATCAACCTCTCACATTGTTCTGATCCATTACTTCAATGAAGTAGCCAAAAAACCCCACCGCTTTTAAATTATCTTTAAAGAGCAAGACCCCGTTTCTTATTCTCTCTGTAGGTCTTTCTAGCATCCTTTGTTAAACCTGAACAGTTTTTGTTTTTTGTTTTTTGTTTTTTTTCCACTGGGTTGCTAGAATATAGATATAGGCCTAAGAGATGCTGAATGCTTCTGAAACTGTGTGCAAAGCATAATAGGACAGACGACTGGGACCTAAAACACAAAGGAGAAAACATACTTTGCAAAGCAGAGAAATTAGTATCAGCCCTTCTTGGTGACAGAGGAATTTCTTTCTTGCAAAAGCTACTTTTAACAAAAAAAAAAAAAAAAAGAGAAAAAAAGACAGCAACTCTCAGCCATACGATGCTGGAAGCAGTCCTTTTCATGGCTGGTGCTTATTTGATGTGGGTGATTAGATTTGGACTTTGTCAAATTAACCTCTTTTAGAAACACTGGCTAGATTTATTTTTATATACTGCTTATCTTACTGATGATATCTGTACCCTTGATAATTTTTTTCCTGCAGGAGGGAATGCCTTTTTTTTTTTCTGTTTTCAGATTAAGCAGCTGAGAACACAAGGTCATTTTCCACTTCACAAAGGTGCGGGGTTGACAGTGAATGGGAAGGCACAGTTATGACGGATGGAGCAAATCAATGAGTTCTTTACGGCATTGAATCAAAGCATCAGATAAAGAAGAAGGAGTGGCTGGCAGCCTGAATTTACTTCCTCATAGTTTGCCATAGCAGGCTGGGCTCGGCTCTGTAGAGTGTTCTGGTGCCATTGCTGAAGGTGGGGCAGAGGATGCTCAGCTCTTTGATGTGTCTGTGTATTGAACAGCAATGACCCACTTAGATGAGCAGGAAGCTTTTATGCAGGAATTTGTCTTTAATGTTGTAACCCGTGTCTAGTTCCAACAATTACAGAGGTTGAAATTTCATTTTCTTTCAGATCTCAGTTCAAGTTTGGTGTTTCGTACGTTGCCTGTGCAGTGATCCTGTGTGAAGTCCTGGCCCCATTTTGATTCACGGTAAAAGTCCTGCAGACTCCAGGTCAGGATTTTACCTCATTCTCTCCTGACCAGATATAATTTGTTCTTACAGATGTTAATCAAGTCTAGAGACATTAATCATACTTTTTATACTATTTTTGAAGACATAAGCTACAGCTCAGCACGTCCTCGTTAACTACCTACCCAGAGTAAAGACACTGTAGTTGCATTTGAGCAATGTACATAATTTCACTGGTGGAAAAATGATATAAAGTATATTTTTGATAAAAGAATTAAAAAATCTTAATTGTACATAATTCAGTTGAATAGTGGATTATTCTAGGACCACTGCAGCACCCCTTATGCCTCTAGAGCATGTTATATACATCACTATATATTTGCTAGGTTGGAGTAATCCATTTTCTTGTGTTAACATTCTTTTAAAGAACCTTCACATATTTCAGAATTGTCACCTGCCTCAACATGTGGACAAAGTCAGTAAGAGAAGAAAAACTATGGCAGAAGCTCAGCCTCAACCATTCATGATTTCTTATGCTACTTGCTTCTTGACCTCTGAGACCCACCTGAAGGTCTCCAGTGTATGGTGTAAGGCCTCTAGTAGTTTGAATGTTTATGTTATAACGTAGTTTCAAACACTGTGATGAAGTCACTGCCCAATCTCCTCTGTGACAAACTACAAATACTGGGTTTATTAAGTCTTTTAAAGCATTGTTTCCCGTTCCCTAACCTTGGAACCATTTTCTGCAGCTCTTCTCTCTGTTTATGTTAACATGCCATCATAAAAGTGTACTAGTGTGGGTCCCTCCAGTGCTGTATGCAGAGGTTTAATCTCCTCTCCACATCTGCTCATGACTCTCTCATTGATAACTCCAAACACTCCAGTTTTTTTCATTAGTGGTAATGCCTCCTTGGGTTGTCTGCCTGCTAAGACTTATGACACTTTTCCAGTGCAAAAGGCAAATCTCTTGAGGACATAAGGATGGAGTCTCCGTCCTTGGAGATATTCAAAAGCTGTCCAGACGTGGTCCGGGGCAACTGGCTCCAGGTGATCCTGCTTGAGCAGGGGGCGGTTGGAGAAAATGACCTCCAGACGTCCCTTCCAACCTCAACCATTCTGTGATTCTGTAACTATATGCACTCTGTTTAATTGTTCCAAATTTTATGGTATCAAACCTTTTACAGTAAAACATGAAAAAAAAAATGTTGCATTTGGCATCCTCTAATTAAAATATAAAAACCAAGAGAGAGTTAGGGGACACTCCCAAATAGCTTGAAGTCAGAGGCAAAACTCTCTTTACTGTGATTTCTCTATGGTCATCCAGTGACTGGCAGAGCTGCAAATGAACTCTAGAGAACATTTCCTTCCTGTGTTACAGACCAACCAGCAGAAAATTACTAGCATCAAAATGTTTTAGTAATAATGGCAAAATATTATCTGGGTCTTAATCAAAAAATTACAGAAAAAACACATTCAAACAAAAGAGGCCAAATATTTTGGAACTTCAGGAGTATATTCTTCCCTTCATATCTGCTGTGTTCTCATTAAATATAGTGGAAGTTCTATAAGCACAGTCCAGTAGAAGAAGGACATATCACTAAGCTGCTAGCGATATTATTTTAACAACTTTTGAAACATATCACCAGGAAGCAGATGTGGCTTGTATTAAGCAAGTACTGGGGTTAATATTTCAAAACCTTTCATAGTTTCTTCAGTTAAAAGTGAGCATAATAAAAGAAGTCTATCATTTTTATCTTATTTGCTTTAGTTTCAATAGCACAGATCAAAGACTGACAATACGAAGTAACATGCGTTACACACTGACACATCTTCCATTGCACATGAACACAAATGTGGCTTATTAGTTTTAATGATATACTCACTTGAGTTCTGGAAAATTTTCAGATGATATCAAACTTTGTAGAGCATGATTTCCTGTTAATTTTAAATGAGTTAAACCATGTAGCCCCGTCACAGGAAAAGAAGACAAAAGGTTGGATGACACATCCCTGCATAACAGCAAATAAAAATCAGCTTATGGGCTTTTTTTTTTTTTTTCTTCTCACACTAGAAGTGTCACATTGGAAAAACACGTTAGACTTTTCTAACTCAATCAAAAATGACTGCATTAAACAGAGGCCCCAGTCAGCAGAGCAAAGCTGCAGCACTACTCAGGAGTATGCATCTATGTGTCTAGCAGAAAGCTAACAGTAATACCCAGCAGTTAGCTAAGTCTCTGTTGCCAAATTTTGACCCCAAACATTCATAGTGCCAGTTTTGAGACTAGCAAATGAATTTAAAATCTGTTCATGAGATTGTTTGAATTAAAGGGACCCAGTACCAGAACAGCTTCCCACAGTTTAAAAGATTCAGTAGGATGCTAGAGGGCACGGCTGTCCTGAAAGCTCCACGGGGAGGTCAGGTGCACGGGGAAGCCGTGTGTTTCAAGGTAGGACAGGTCTGGGCTGGAGCAGGTGAAGGTGACAATTCTAAGCTGAGGTCTGTGTGAGGAGCTGAAGAAAGACAGCATGGAGCATGGATACGTAACAGGGAAAGTAAAACCAGTGAATGAAAAAGTGACTGTGATGAAGGAAAAATGGTAAAGTAACCAAAGAGGTGGAAGTCCAGAGGTACTCTATTCTCTATTTTTCCCTCTCTCCAATTTATTCTATAAGTCTTTTCAGTCCTCTTCACAATTATCTACCCTTCATTACTTAAGATGGTCAACAGTCAAGAAGGAGGAAGAAGGGGAATCTGGCGCTGCTGAAATGCTTTTATGCCCAAGGGTTAACAGTAAAGTTCCTTGGACTATCTCCTGAAATCTAAGGGGCCAGATATAATATAAGAGGTATGTTGATGGACTGGTCTTCTACCTTTTCTGGTTCATGTGTGCATGCACATGTGTGTCCTCCTACTGACAACACAGTCAAATGCAAAAGGTGAAATACCGGTCCTATTGCAATAGGAAAACAGGACCACTGGCTGCAGTCAGACCAGGGTTACAGACTTGCATTTCAGGAAACACCAGTATGCTGTGTTGCCCTGTGTGTGTGTTAAAGGGCTTTTTCTTTAACCCTCCCTGTTCTGTGCTATTGATCAAAGCTCCAATTTATTGCTGGTAGCATGATGTTCCCTCGCCCCTTCTTCTGTAGGAAAGTCCTGAGGAGGGCCCCGAAAAAAGGGATGCCATAGGCATTATTCTCTTTATGGACATTTTTCAGTGCACCATTCAGAGGAAAGACTTTGCGCATCAACAGAAACGAATACCCCTTTCCAAATTTAGGTTTCCCAGCAGCTACTGGATTATCTGTGAGCAGATGCCCAGCAGCGTATCTTTGTGACAGCCATGGAGCAGGATGACTCTACAGAAATTTTCTTTCGTGTCTTTCCCGTACATCCGATGCCTCAGGGATTCACCTTAAAGAGGCATCACAATGATAGCGAGAAACAGGAGAAAGTAAGGACTGAGAAGTGCTTGTGAACAAGGCCTACAAAATTGGACTGCTGGTGCTGTGACCACTAACTACTCTGGCTGACGTTACTAAAGAAGAAAAACTTACTGGAAAATGTTCCTTAATTAATTTTGAATCCAATTCCTTAGTCCTGATATACAACAGGAAATATTGCCCACTAATAAAAGAGAAACTGTCTACTAAAAGAGACTGAACTGCTAACAAATTGAATGAAGAAAGGCAGATACACTGACATGCTTCATGGACCCCAAATCATTCTGATTACACAGCGTTATATTCAGCTTTGCCATAATACCTATGGGAGTTGAACTACAAGAAAGCAGGCATTAAAATACGGACTAAACAGACCAGAAGATCAATTTCTGCTGAGTGGGGCACTAAGTTAATAATTTTTGTATGAAAAATGTGAAATTTTGAATGTAGAAGCTATACAAATACTTACAGTTTGATCAGAGATGGTAAAGAGGAGAAGGCATTGGGGTGAATAATTTTAATTTTGTTCCAAGCTAAATCCCTACAAGAAAAGTGAGCGGAAAATTACATACCCACTGAGTGAATATGGAAGTTTTCATACACTTGATTAGGAGGCCTAAATATAAAAAAGGTAGTAATTACATGCAAATATTTTCAATAAGTTTCTGCATATGTCACAGTCCAAAATCTTTTTTCAGTTTTTAAATTATGTTAGTCAGTTAACGATGTTAGTTATTAAACTGACAACTTCCTCTAGAATGTCTTCATGCCTTCTGTAGCCTAACACAGTTATTTTCAGTCTGCTTCGCAGCTTCCCAAAGCAGCAGAAAGAAGGGTGGGGTATATAGACTACTTCTAAGAGGTCTTCGTGATATGCCTAAGAACAACAAATCCGTTGTCAATAGGCTTAACTTCCTAATCTCAATCTTCACCGCCACTGAAAAATCAAAAAACTGGAAGGAATTATTAAAAAAATGCATAGGCTTGATCCTGTAGACTTACACCCATGAGTAATTTCTTGACAAAATTACTCTGCTAGCATATGCGTTTGTGTGAAAACTATGAATCAACACATGATTAGAATCTATTTCTTAAGATGCTGTTCTCTATAAAAAGATTTCATGCTCCCTAGAGCTGATTATTACACGAACCTGCCAACATATACTAGCTTTGGCTCAGTATCTCTCAACGGAGAAAGTAGATTAGAATAGAACAGTTCAGTTGGAAGGGACCCACAACGACCATCTAATCCAACTGCAAAACCTTTAGAAGTAACAGATTTATAGCTATAAGTTTACATCTTTGAATTTGTTGCTGCAGATGCTAAACTTCATGACGTTTGTTCTGCTTTCACAGTCATGAGCTAACGGGTGAAAGATCAAAGAAAAACAGAAACAAGCATGTTTTGGGGCAGATAGTGGGCAGATAGTGTATAGCCTATGCTTTTGAGAACCCGGGTGATTAGCTGCTGTACTCACAGAGATCGAAGAGCAGCCAGCTGCCGAAATGTGTCTGCTTTGATTTCACCGATTTCATTGTGATGCAAGTCACTGAAATATCAAGAAGAATCTCCTCAGTTTCAAAGGCACTTGGAAGACACTTCAGGGTGTTTTAGACTGTGTTTATGATCCACTTCAATATAGTGTAAGTGGATGTATTTGGGATATGTCAAATCGGCCAGCAATAACCACATTAATGATGGTAAAAAAAAATTGTATATAAATGCCTCTTTTTAGGCTTTTTAGGATAATTTGATGCTTACATTTTTTGGAGTTTTTTACATGCAGTAAAACAGGGTAAATCTTCCAGCAGGTTGTAAGACAGATCCCTGTAACACACAAGAAAAGATAAGATTAGCATCAAAGTAGCACTAAAAGAAGAAGATCTTTCATTGTCTACCTTCATGCTCAATTTAAAATAACTTGGTTTTATCCGCAGTCTCAGAAGAATAGACTTGTGCAAACTCAGTTATCATCTCTCATCTGTCAGATTTTTATTTCTAATGGAGGAGAAGAGAGGAGGGGAAAAGGCAAGATGTACTAACTCCATATCCTATGTTTGCAAATTCCTTGCATTGTCTGAAGATTTCCTCCCTGAAGTGTAGACTTCTGAGTGTTTTACAGTAATGATATTGGCTGTCTGCTCATAGGGAATATTGGATTTGCATCGCAGACTTCATATTCATCATGTTTAAATTCTGACAAATATTTAAACCATTTAAAATGATCTACTAAAAATATATACTCATATTTTTTCAGAGAAGATCCTGTATTTTTCTGGTATATAATCACAATGGACTGTATTCAGTTTTCCATTCTACAATTTTAATTAAGCAGTATTGCCTCTGATCTGTTATATCTTATAACTGAGGGAAGCAGTTAAAAAAAATATTGGAACTAACTTTGAAATCAATCACTACATGGAGGAAAAAACCTTAAAAAGACTTGAGCCAAAACTCAACAAATTACAGAATAACTGAAACATCTGGACTGATTTATAGTATAATACAACTAATCAAAACCAAACCCAGGCAATTTGCAGAAATTGGAGGGGAAAAAAAAAAAAGGAACCAAACGCCCGCCCCCACCACCCAACCGTCTCATCCTTAATATACATCTTGCTCAGGGAAAACTGAATGGGAAATTTGGGAGTGAAAAGAATATAGAATAAAAGCTTATGCCCATAATTAGGAAAAATACTCTTTTCCACAGTTATCCAATGTTATCACGTAAAAGAGTAATCTCTTTTCACTCCTGTTTCAAATTCTTTAAAACTGGTTCACATCCACCTGTTTACGTCCTTGGTAAAATATTATTTTCATTGTTACTATTCCAAGAGGGGCATTTAGAATATTCTACATTTGATTTATGGAAGTGGTGCAAGTAATGACCATGTGTGTTTTTGAAGTATTCCACTCTGCTTTTACTATGCACAAAGGCTACCATCAATAATATGTATATTTTTTGTTACAGCAGGGAAGATTGTGGCCTCTGTTTTTGTATTTTTCACAGGTACTCTGTGGTCCAAATCAGACATGACAGAGGAGAATTCAAGTGAGCTGGGGGCTTTTAGGCCAAGGTAAAAGATGTTTGGTATGTCTGGCAGACAGTGGCTATTCTGTCATGTGCAGATTTGTGACTCAGGTCTTCTAAGAAGTATGGTATCAGCCTGAATTTTGTATATATGACACTCTCTCTTCACACATGGAAAAAAAAATAACACCCCAAAACCAAAACCCTTCTCCCCTCAGTTTCTGTTAGAGCTCCAGGAAATATTTCTCTTGTTTATTTTTAAGGCCTTTTCCCCACTTTGTTAATACACGAGGCTCTCGGCAGAGGTTTTGGTTCCTGTGTTGAGGTGCCTACCCAACTGTGCTGAGGGCAGTCTCTCCAGGAGTACTGCCACCGTGTCCTCACATACACCTTTACTGCAGGTGTGCAGACACCCAGGAAGCCTCCATGTAGGTTAACCCATGCTGAGAAGTATTGATGGCTACGCAGGATGCACAAATTGTCTTTCAAAGCAGTGTTTGTGCCTGTAGTGTGCGTGCGTGTATCTGAGCCAAGAAGCCCCTTCAAGATCACAGTCTCCAAGTAACTTCTGGGGTTTCAGCGCACTGTTGTACTTCATGGCACGGGCAAAACTAATGTGCAGAGCTAAACATGGGCTTGGCAGGCTCATTCCAACCTGATGGGAATTGGGAAAGAGCAACTCTGAGTCCATGACATTGCTGTCAAATTAATTCCTCTCCTTTTAAATATCAGCTTTAATAATAAAGGGTGATACTCAAAAATAAAATATGTGAATTTTCAATGGACAGTCCTACTCCACCGTGAACTGTACAAGTTATTAATTACTATAGTATTTATTTGCCTTCTGTTTTGAGATTATTTATTGTTTCTGAATAATACAGGACATATTTAAACTTAAGTTGGTGTGCAGACTCTTCTGGCAACAGACTGTTTCTGTCTTTTATCATTCTGGAAATGATTATAATGAGTCAATCAACTTAAACTTAATTTTTTCTGGAAACACTCATGACATCCATGCTGGTATTCAAATAACGTGTTAGAATTAGTGCTATTTCAATATTGGCCAGGGAACTAATACCAAATACATTCCTAGTGATGTAATACATAGAGGAAAGTGCTGTTGGCTCATTCTCAAAGAAGCAGACACAATGATTACTTTTGTTAGTGATTAAGCAAACTCCAAGGAAATTTCCAAGCTAAAATAATATTGGATATTTAGTATGAAAACTATGTCCCAACTATGCCAAGGAATAGCCTATTAAAATTTCAGTCAGCTACTTACGTCTGGTTGGAAAAGAAACTAAAAGAGGAGCATAAGAAGGACCCAAAACTGCACTCTCTACTCAGTTATATTTTCCATTCACGTCACTGAATTATCTGCCTTGGTGAGGGAAAAAAAAACCCCGGATTATTGTAAGAGAGAGAATGAGTGAAAATAAGGTAGTTCTGTTGTTTTTTAAACAAATTCAGGAACCGTTTTACCCTTTCCTAAAAATATGCAAAGTCATTATCTTTTTCAGCAACGTATGGGAAATCCTGACTGATAAGTGGGTTGTGAACTTTTTTGAGTAACACGGGGGCCCGCTCCCTGAGCTGAATTCCTAAAAAGTAACGTAATACACAGAAATAGCAGTAACAGGGTAATTTTGAAATTATAATGATTTAATTTGTCCATTAATCTCTTGCATTAATGTAATGTTAATAATCTTACTGAAACGTACAGCACTTGGAGATTAGGTAACTGGTCACAAGCTGACTCAGGGAGAGAGGTGATCTGTGCTCCTGTGAGTGTCCTGTTGGAAGTATTTATAAAAAAAAAAAAAAAAAAAAAGAAAGATAAAAAGACTACTTTTTAAAGATTGCAAAACAAATATTTTTTTAGGACATTCTTTAGAATAAGTCAGTATGCAAAAAAATAAAACAAAGCAAAAATACTTCTCTAGCACTTACAAACTCTCCAGACTTGTAGTCCCTGTCAGATCAGGAAACTCTGTTATCTGTGAAGCACCATTTAAAGTCCTAGAATTTAAAAACATCATTTCAATACAATCGTGGTGAAGGAAGTGAGGGGCAACTGTAACATCGTGATACACAAGGACAATAAAAATAAAAAAGTAAACACATACAGAGTTCTGAGTTCGGGTAAGTGTTGAAAAGCAGATTTTCCAACAAGCTGGATAGGGTTATCATAAAAATGTCTGCAAAAAGAGGATAAAAAGACATTTTATTAAAAATATTTTAAAATATTCTAAATATATTACATTATTATACTCTAAGCAAATGGGTAAATGCTCTACCATGAATCACAGGCTGTGCACCTCCAATTGTAGCAGAGGCGTACCTCTGGGCTTTTCTCACCCACTAATCTATATCTATCAACCACATTTCACATTTTGAATATTCAAGTAGTCATTGTTTTCTTGGTTTTAAAGCTGGAAGCCAGTCAACAAAATAGTCCCTCTTCCTCCCGGGTTTGCAAAGATAGAAATCCGAATATGAAGAACTTTGTTAGCAGGTGAACAAGTCAGAACTTCACATACTCAGAAGAGGTTCCCTTGCACTTTTGAAGCCATGCTGCTTTTGCTCACAGAATAATATTGCTCAGGATGAGTCACTATTTTTCTTACATTTATTTTACAATTTCTTATTTTGAGGTTTGCTCACTAAATGCATTCTCATGTAAGACAATGGGAACTGGAATCCACGGAGAGTAATTTTTACCAGCTTCTACATTGCCAGTGATGATAAGAAGAAATATTTCAAATAAAAGGTCAAAGGCCAGAGACCACTACTTGCTTTCCTTAAATAGGGCATGCAAACTGCCAGTCCTTCCACAAAGTTGGAAAGATAAGACCTTGTTTGCTTGTATAATGATGAGCTACACAGTATGTTCACAAGAAGACCTATTTGACAATTAGTCACGAATAGGATACTTAGTTCCGTGTTCTCTAACAAGAAGAGTCATTGAAAAGACTATTATCACTTACATTGTAATAAGTGATGGATTACCCACAAATGCACGCTCAGGTATTGACTTGATGTTATTACTATGAAATCCCCTACAAAAGGAAAAATGATTTACACAGCAAGAAAAAAAAAAGAAAAAAAAAGTGAAGGCATTCATAATGCACAACATATATATATTATAATAATTCTGTATTCATAATGCACAACAATCATTTCTGTAGCAAGAAAAGTGTCTGTATGTAAAGGTATGACCTTGTTTTCTGGAATAAGGCAGAACTAAAAAAAGCAAAAGAAAAGCCACGAAATAGCTGGAATTCTGCACTCTTCTAAATGAACAAAACCATTCAGATGAAGCAAACTGCAGAAATGGCGTTTTAAAATTCAGATGCCTTCAGTTGGAAACTGTTTTGTAGCTGTATGTCATGTATCTATGAATCTATGTGTGTATGTATATAGATATGATGTAGATATACACACACACACAAATGAACTAGTAACATTAATAGTTAAATATTAATAATTAAATAAACAGCAATAAAATAGTATATATATTTCTGCCTGTGCTTGTTAAACTGCAACTAATTCTTTTGCTGGGATAATAATGGATTGCACAAGTTTACCAAGTAAACGATTTTATACATTATACTGCAATATGTTGAGCATCTCACAACCACCTTTTTGTTGAAATATTTTAAATGTGGACATGAACAAACTATCCAATGTAGTTGTGCCTGCTGGATAAAGGGCCAAATCTTTGTCTCATCATTAATTACTGGATTTTATTCATATGAGTAATTCTCCATTGTGAAAAACAAAAGAAACAGCTAAGATTTCAAAAGAACAATAATGATTTGTGTGGGAAACTCCCATTAGTTCAGTCGGGTATGAAAAAGGCTTCCCAGCTTAAATTTATGCATTTAGAAAGCCTCAAATTGTTCACTGATGCAAGCACATGGCCATTACTTGAACAGGTCCCACGTTATTGGTTTTACTTGTTTAGGCATTGTGCTACTGCTGATGAGGTACAGAGCAAGGCTCTAAATCCCTAGTTCTTTTGCATGCAATAAAAACTGCATCCATGCAGATGCAGACTCAAAGTAATATGAGGATCCCATTTAATCTAGAACCAGTAAACAGACTGGTTTTGAGTCTATATTGAATGGGATTCCTTGCATGGCAGAAAAGCTAAGGAAATGGCACGACTACTTCCCAGGGCGGTATCTGGCCCCTCATCACCATTCTGACTTGAGTTAGCGTGAGGGTCAGCTCCATCACCATCAACTTGAGTCAGCCCCATCATCAGCCAAGAGCAGACTCCACTGCATTTATGCACAGAAGAGCCTGAAGCACTTCTGAGCCCGTCGGAAGAGTGTGCTCACGGGTGCAGCCCGTGTCATGGCGCACTGTACCCAAGTGATACACCCTGTCTCAACTGAAGGCACTTTAGAGCCTGTCAGTTCACATACTGAGCAAAAGAGCAGGAAAATCTATCTGCCCTCGTGGGTGCAGATAATAAAGACACACTGGGAAAAATGCTTCTATAGAAATCTTCAAAATCCAGTCTGGCAAACGTTATGTAGGCGTTAATTTTGGGTAACAGCTATACCCACTTATTTTGGAGAGATAACTACTCCTACATCTGAGACCTTGAAGTGCAGAGCATCTGGGACAATGGTGTCCCTGTAGCATCAAACATATATGGCCCTGACTCGCTGGCCACTTGCCAGCAGAGCTCCAGCTCTGACTGGCTGCCTTGGATACCTCCGAGCTGTAGTCAAAAAGCCATAGTCTGTGTTTTCAGCCCAGGCACAGATTCTGAGAGAAATGAGGTCCCACCCAGAAACACCCTTACTAAGGTGACCCTGCAACAAGCTGAACCTTTGTGGGTCTGGGCTCCCACTTGGTTGAGAACAGCACAACCTCATGGGAGACACCTCGTGCTTCTAAGCACATGGTCTCAAGGTCTGTGCTGGATTTGGGACGTCAGGTTGCAATTTCACACTCCAAAGATTTCTTGCACCTTGGAGCTTATCTGAAACAACAAGTTTGATACTCTAGAGGTGAAGTCCTACAGGGCCAGTAGGCACACCATGCAGTTTGCCGGACTGGGCAAACCTGGGTTGGCCGTGTTTGGCTACTGGCTCCAGAGGTCAGCAAAAAGGCAATCCTTCGAGGCTGCTGGATTTCATACCAGTTATTTTAGCCGACAGACAACATCACAGCATCTGAGAGCAGTTGGGCTGAGAAACTTATAGCCCCGCTCCCTCCTCCAGAGCAGCACTCTTTGCCAGCGCTGGAGGTGCTGAGCCGAAGTCAACCCTGCCTGGGCATCCCTGCTTTGGAAAAAATCCCAGGTACCTACTTAAAGCAACTTGAAGATCAGTTTGTGATGTAGCAGGGGTACAACCGTGTCCAACTACTATATGATTTCTTTTTTTTTTTTTTTCAAAAATCTATGCTGATGGTACCAGTAACATGGTAAATAATTCAAACGGAAAGAATTCTGAACATGTACATTGTGTGTACGCTGTGTGAATATAATTTCATCCATGTTTTTGTAATTCAGCTGTTTCTGAAAATAAACTTGGCTGGTTTCTTTTCATTGTTGATTTTTTTAATGCAAACTATGAATTCTTTTATTTACAGCATTAGAAAGGAATATTTATACTGAAAAGAAAATGCTTTAATTTAATGGGGGGAAGGGAGGGAAGAAGACAGACATTTAAACCTGATGGACTAAAAAGGGTGCCACACCTTCTTCTTAGACTAGAAGACTGTGATATATTGGATTGTTTGCAAAATCCAACTGTTGTGTTTAGCACTCAAAGTGAGTTCATTGTATTTATTATTTACTGTATTCCAAGGAGGAAGTTCCTGGAAAAACCCACTGCACAATGCAGTATAAAAGTAAAAGTTGTCAGAACTTGAATTCTCTAAATTGAATGTTGAAAATGATCTTTTATGCATGTTGGCATGTTTATTAGTTTTTCCGAGGATATCAGTTTTTAAGGTTACTGATAAAATCACCAGCATTAAAAAAAATAATCACACACTAGACAAAACATCCTCCTTCCTAATACGAGCTCTGTACTTACAGTTCTTTTAGGTTTGTTAGTGTCCTGATAGCAGCGGGGAACTCGTCCAGACTGTTGTAATTTAAATCTCTGTGTGAAAATAGATTTTATTATTTAGTTTATGCACTGCATAATGGATAACATAGAATTGTTGGCATTTGTAATGAAACATCATCTCCCATGCATTGAATAAATACATACAGCCAAAAGCCAGGAAATCCTCAAAAGTGTATGGATGTTTTCCAACAAATTCTATTTAAGGCATATCATCATTCCTATTTTTTATCAGCGTCCTATTTTTAGTTATATCTTAGCTATTTGCATTAAAGAAAACATAAGTGGATTCAGATACTACTAAGAGATTTGCTGTTTTCTAAATTGCCCATCCTTTTCATTACTTGAAAGTATTAATGGGAAAAAAATCTTTCAAACAGAATATTTAACAACTTTGTATGGTGAGCTGCATTTTACACAGCTAATACATCTCACTATAAAGGTTTCATTTGCCTCTGACTTACTGTCTAGTTGTATTAGTCTTTCTTTTTTTTTTTTTTTCACTGATGAAAGAATTTCTGAAGAGATTTTTCCTAATGGTGAAGTGGTAAAAATAAGAGATACTGGGGTTTGGAGGGTAAAAATGATTAGGGGAAATCTTTCTCTGGCTAAAACAAGTGGGAAAACATACAGTAAGTTCAATGTAACCATTAACTGTATTGTTAATTTTAAGATTTGTCAATATTTGTATGGAGAATGTTTCTAAGCATGCAAATTGTAAAAATGGTCGTTTAGCTAGACTAGAGACCTCTGCTTTAAGAACTGCTCATGCTGCAGCAGTAATTAGACTTTATTCTGGCAGGCTGAATGGACTATAAGCCTACTTCTGCCATCAGCATGACATGTGCATCCTTTAGCATTCAGGACACACCTGAAACTAAAATTGAGATATGCCAGTTTACTGTGAAGCTCTCTGGCACTGCTTTGTGAAGAATATAGCCTGAAAAAGTTGAGCAAAAGCCTTTTTGAGCAGGCAAAACACAAATCACAGCTTACAATAGATTGAAATTGAAATAGTATCAGGCTGAAGTAATGCAGGCAGGAAACTGCTGTCTGAACTCAACAAGGCTTTCCTTCCTGCTTGTAAATCTCTCTCTCTCCTGCTTATTGACAAAAAGAGATTACAGGCATGTACGGTTTGGTTTTGCCCTCCAGTGATATGTGATTTCCAGACCTATGCGTCGATGCAAACAAATGATCTTAAAGCTGGCGTCCACCATTTATACCGAGATCTCTTTAGATTATCTTGAGACTATCTGGAAACGGTCTACACAGCACACAATTACCATGCTTGAGGCAAGTGCTACATTCTCCTATTGCAATGAAGTGGCTGCACCTACACTAGGTTCATGACTGTCCTCTATGTTTTCATCTCTCTCATGCCAGGTGGCTGGGACTGGGTTTGCAATCACTTATTCCATTGTTCTGGTTTTCCCCATTTTTGACCAAGTGCCATGTGAATCTCACTTAAAAAAACAAAACAAACGATTATATTTTCCTTCTCCCTTTCCCATCCCCCTTTCCGGTGCTACACTAAGGGACTTCCTCTCAACTCACAGCCGGCTAAAAGTCAAAATTGTAAAATTGCAACCCAGTGCCAAGGGATCAATGTAATCAAAACTAGTGATAAAAAAAAAAAAGCCCCAGACTTCTTGTTTTCTGATCTTAATGAAACATGAAAGTGGGCCAACAGTCACCTTTAGACTAGCATTTTCATATTTGAAACTTTGTCTATTTGTTCCTCATAACGGGCCTTTCAGTCTCTGTCCTGGTTGAGTGAAATATCTAAAATCTCTGAAACCAACGCAGCTGATTCTGGCAGGTGCCGGGGGTAGGATATCAAGGTTTTACTGTCCCTGTGGCATTTTTGGGGTATGTGGTCTACTCACTCTAGCACACATCTTTATTTGATTAACTCGAGCAAAATACTTAGCGCTAACCATCAGCACTGTGTTCCTGTTTGGCGTTCTTCTATAGAATTATTTTTTGTTAGAAAACTCAATTGGTCTGAACGGAACTTCGGGGAAAACTTGAGGAAATTTCAACCTCTCCCAGTGCTCTTCTTCATCAGAGCTCTTTATAAAGACAAAAACCTGGATATAGCTGAAACATTCCTCTTCCTCCCTTGTAAAACACATGCATAATTTGGCTACCTGGCTCTTTTGCTTTTTCCAGAGATAAAAAAAATAAAACCATCTAATTTTATAACCCTCCTCTGTGGCAAGACAGTTTCTTGATGTTAAAGCTTTTCATTGTGACCATTTCCCAATCTAGCTATTAGCTTTATTGATTAAACAAGACAAATAAATAGTACTCAACTATGCAAATGTAGCTTTTCATGAATAGCCACTTCTTTTTCAATGCTCAGTACAGTTTTCAACTGCCTTTCAAACAATTTATCAATTGACAATGCTTATTAAAAAGGCAAACTAATTTTATAGTCAAAAATAGGATTTGCTACATAGAGTCATTGTAAACCATCACTTAGATCCTGTAGCGATTAAGAAAGCCAAAACCCACATTTGGCTTTTAGGCTATTTTTATTCTTTCAGAATATTAATGAAAACGCTGAAAAAAAAAGGAAACAAATAAGAGGTCAACTCACAAAGTCTCTAGGCTGTGGAGCCCATCAAAGCATTTCTTTCCCAGGGAGTAGATTCTATTGTTATGGAGATGTCTGCAGGGGAACATTAAGCACACAGTCAGGAAAGCACACTGCACACAGTGGACTTAAGCAAAATATTTTGATGGTTAAATCAAAAGAAACTTATTTTCAGGCATGCACTGATTATATGCAAGTCATGCTTTTGCAAGAGCTTGTATAGGAGGCAACTCCGCCGCCCTCCCTGCTGTTTCCCAGTATCTCCCCACCCGTGCAAGCTTCCCTTTGGTTTCATAGACGGGATTTGTTTTAAAACCACCTGGATTGTTTAAAAAGGGTATATCCTGGAATTCCAGGTTGGGCTTTGCATATTGAATACTGGGAAATTGTAGACATATTCTCAGTGCTGGTTAATTAACAGGTTGCCTTAAAAACTGTGTGTGGGGATGTATATTTGGAAGATGTATATTCAGAGGGTACTAGAGGGTATGGCACAGAACAGGAGCAGGTGAGGAGATGGATAATACAGCAGACAGGAAAGGGGCATTAGGCTTGCAGAATGAAAGAAGACACAAAGCCATAGGACAAAAAAGTCAGAGCTTCACTGAGATGGGTAAACTAACCAATCTTAAAAGTGCTGTGACGTGGCTTCCTTTGAAACTATACAAATCAACAACTACTCTCTCAAATGTTTAGCAACTGAAATTAATTTTGTTATATATTACAAGGAATCGCCTCGCAGGAAGGCTGAGTGCTGCCTATTTCTAAGTCTTTTAGATCAACATGGAAAACCCCCACTCTGTGTGAAGCTCATTAACGTGAGTAGACACAACTTAGAGCCACTTCAGGTTGTTTTTTGAAAAAGATGCCTTTTCCCCAGATTTTTCCTTTTATTTTATTCTTCACACTCTACCCTTATAGCGGAGGGAAACTATGGGAGTAGCACTTTAAAAGAAAAGAAGGGCTGTGAATGAGGGGCTGCCAAACACTGCCGCTTCAATGCTTCATTCTGCTCTGAAAATAATGTTGAAGATCAGAGGCTCTTTGAATGTTCTGCAGAACCTACAGAAATTGAGTCTACCTGTCCATAAAAGGCAGGGATTCTAATGGCAAAATGGAAATAGTCTGTGAGTTTTTTCTTCCCTAGAAAGAAACCTAATCAACTATTATTTTTTTTAATGACTACACTGACCTTTAATGCTTTAGTTAGCATGAAGAGTGCATCTCCAAATTCCAATTATGTTTGATCATTGTCGTGATAGAGCTTCAAACCTGCTCCAACTGACCAGACATTTTTGCAGTGAGTTGAAAATTTGCCAGACTGAACAGAGTAGCAAACAACAGAAAGCAGAACCACACAAAAAGATTTTGATGAGCCAAAAATATCAGATGTTGCAGATCACAAGGAATGATTCAATTATTAATCAATATGAAGCCCAGAAGATTAGAAATAAGCAAAGCAGATCTAAAATAAGGAAATCTAACTGAGAAGCAATCAGGGCATGAAAAGAAGTAATTTTCTCCTGTATTTCTTAACTCTTATCACTATATTTCTGGTAGGGATCTACAGAATGATGTTGACGACAGTCTTTTGTCTTTAGCATTATTGAGATAAGTCTAGAAGCTCAGTTGAATGACAAGTCCATCCCCTCTTTAACTTGAATGGGAATGATTCTTAATATAAACAGAAGGTGAATATTTTGCAGCACAAGGCAGCTGTGGCCCTCCGTTTTGGGTGTCCTATACTTTTATATGAATATACTAAGCACCAGGCAGAGATGCTGATTATAACTGTCAATAGAGAACACCAGCGTGTGCCAGGTTCAATGCACACACTGGGGCTAGAATATACTAAAATATGCTAAGTGTCTTACAGACAGCTTGTAAAGCTTGAATATATTATTCTCTCTTTAATAATGCTAACATTTTCCAAGGTATCCTGAAATAACTTCTCCACCTCAGTTCCCCTCCTCAGTTTCTCCAGCCAGTCTAGAATTTTTTCCACTTGGTGCATTCCCAGAAGATAAAAAGCTGAAACCGCGCTCCATAGTATTCCTTCCAGATTTTGGTGCGAGCTACGCATGTTTCATTTAGTTGAACTGGTATGCAAAAATAACGAAATACAAAACTACATACACTTTCTATGAAGGGAAATGCATACTTTTCCTACTGGATGGCATTTCCAAGTAAACCAGAAAGCTTTCAGTTCATTTCCTTTTTCTAATCTTCTTTCTCATTCAGTACACGCTGCCTTAGAGTTTTAGAGGGCACTCAATTCATCTCTTCCTGTTTGTTTTGCTGACCAGATAGGGCCATTTTTTTAGTTCCCTCACATAGTTCTTTACTAGAGATGGAAACTTTTAATCTAGATCAAAACAAGTGATTTAGCAAATGCTAGTTTAAGTGTAGGAAGATGTAAAAAAATCTTTTTATGCAAGAAATTTTTTTTAGATTATGTTTCGTAGTACATCTCCAAGCCAGAAAATTTATCTTTCAAAAACCCCATTTTCTGCAACAAATGGAACTGACCTCTTGAAAAAGGAATATCACTAAGCCTAGTGCAAATGTAGAAGGGAAACTGCAGATTTATAGACCCAAGTTATCAATTTAATACTAAGAATGTATGACAAAACAGGCGTTTAATTAACCCACGTATATACCTCTTTACCTATCATTTGCCAACTGGGGAAGGACTAGGGGAATATGTAATCATTAAAGGTTGTCTCGGGCAACGTCTGAATTAAACATTGCATCTTCAAGTAATTTATCACAAAATGGTCAAAGCCCTGCAAAGAAGCAGAGATTGTGGCTAAAAAAAACAATCGATAAAACTTACAGAACTACCAAACTAGAGAGGTTTCCAAAAGCATAGTCTGGTATGTAATGAATTTTATTCAGTGCCAATGTCATTGCCTGAAGTGCTGGTAAACTTCTAAAAGCTTGGACGGGAATTTCTGTCAAAGAATTATCATCTAGCCACAGGTGTCTAAGGGAGACCAAGCCATTGAAGCAGTTGGGGGGCACATAGTTGATGTGGTTGGCATCCAGACGTCTAGGAGAAAAAGAAATAGACAAAATTGACTCTGAGAAAAGAACAGTGGACTTACACAACGGATATCAGAAGTTATCACCAAGAACACAACCCCAAGGGATGAACACGAGTTGCCACATCCATTTTTTATTTCCTGGGCATTCTACATTTCCACCTTGTTTGCAGCTGCACCCCTGAGACCTCACATCATATTTACAAGTCCCCTTGTCAGCTGGCTCTCTGCAGGCAGTTCTCCTTTGGAGCCATTAACTCACTGAGAGGACACACTGATTATTTTTGAGCAGAGTCTCTCTACAGACCGGGTATGAATTTGTTTCCTTTCCCAATCATTTGAAGCATGGAATAAAATAGTGTAAGAAATTAAGCCAGAGAGTCTCTTTCAGAACTTATAAATCACTTCGCTGCAAGATGATTTGTATTTCCATACACTAGACACCTATTCTAAGAGCCAAAAAGAAAACTCACTTCTAAGTCTCTGTTCCCGTTTTACCTTTTCTTACATACTGTTTATTCCAATGATTCTAATGAGCACTGAAGTTCACATTTTTAGTAGTGGAGCAAAATTTTGTTGGTTTGTTTTTGTTTTTGTTTTTGTTTTTTTTTAAATAGAGATCAGCGTTGCTGATGTGATGTATTTTGATAAAGAAGTTATTAAATACACTTCAGTTGTTGCAGAGCCAACAGAGGGAGCTCAATTGCACATTGTACCTTTTCAGAGTCCACAGGTGATATCTTGCTCTCACACTTGTGTAAATAAGGATTAAATCTACTGAACGTTTTGCAGATGTGGTGCTAGAAATATTATGTCATATATTCACTGGCTTTTGCTTTTGCTCCGTTTTGCTCTCCCATTGTGATGCTCTCAGGGAAATGTTTAAAAGTGTGCTTCAGATTTCTGAAACTTTGTGAAACATGGTGATCTGTACTCTGATGCACTTTTTCTGCTTTTAATGTGTTGTGGTGACTTGTACCTTCTTCGGAACATGAAAGCCATGCTCTAAAACTTTTCTTGAAGATGTCTGTACAGAGGAGTAATTAAGTGAATGGTGAAACAGAAATAAATTTAAATAGATGTTTGAAAACTTTACAGAACAAACAGACACACCCAGGGTACAAAGAAGTAATTCTGTGCAACCTAAACTCGGTCTGTTTGAGAGAAACGCAATGCTCTTTGTGGCGGGCACGCTAATCTCTTTATTTAAAGCTGCTTCTTCATTTACAGGCATGTAAAATGTCAGGTCCATTCTATCTCCTGCTACACGCTGCTCCTACCTACTGCATGAGAACAAATAATGATTGCTAAGGCTCCGTGCCAGGCTGGCAAATAACTGAGACAAGGTCAGTTGGAACAAATTTATAAAGTTCAGTGTCAAAGCCCTTGTACAATTAAATTTTCAAAATAATAACTGACACGGCAGGCAGCAGAGACAGAGCTTCCAAAATAACTCAAGGGTCTGTCAACAAATGGGTGAGGCTGGAAATGTTTAGAAATACTCATGCTGTACCTCCCCCATTCCCCGGGCAACAACCATGCTACGCCTGTGTTTTCAAATAAGGTATAATTTGAATGAGTAGATGAGGTTTCTTTGCGTTCAGTCAGAAGTACATTTCTTCCCTGGGTGATGCTGGTATGTAAACCAAGAAGTTAACAGTTGCCTTAGTTTGACAGCTACACTGATTAAAGAATGGAGGCTTTATTCAACCTAAATGTGTTACTGTATTACAGCTAACATCTTGTTTGATAGGAAGGTTGCCTCTGCAGCTCTGACATCCCCATCGAACTCCACGGGAGTTACTCACAGGCTGCCGGGCTGCATGGCAAAGCCAACAGCCCGCTGTGTGTTTGTGACTCTGTGGTTGAAATGGCAACGTTTCTGCTGTCCTCTGTGAGACCAGGTTTTTTACCTGACCAATATTCGGTGGCAAATCAAGGAACTGGTTTTGTTTATAGCTGAAGTTACCAAATATAAACCCACCACTGGCTATGCAAACAAAATACACAACATAGAAAGAAAAACAGGACTGCTGTAATATAAATGAGATTCTAGGTAGTTGAGTTATTGTTTAAATAAACTTTGGAAGAAACCAAGAAGCTACGATGATTTGTTCTGCAGGTCCTATAACTGGATTACGTATCCTGCAAGTGCTCGTAAGAAGTACCGCCTCAAGTGCTCTTTCGTTATCTAATCTTTTTTAAATTTCCAAGTACCGTTTTCCCTCTTGCAGATATTAAAAGGTTTCAGCAGTGGTTATGTTTCCTGTCATACCGTAGGTAATGCACACTGATGTATAAAGCATTGATCAAAATCACCGTTTTCAGCCAATTGTTTTACATGTGTTGATCAAAGTTTTGGCACTTCCAGAACTAAACCCATTAACTCACGAACATGACCCTATTTATAACTGAAAATATATAGATAACATGTGGTGAGTTTGAAAGCTGCTATTATATTACAGAGAGAGCCAATTTAGGGAAACAGAAATGCTTGATCTCTTCTGATAGGCAGCATGTAAATAAAGCAGCCAGTATGAAATTCACCATGAGCTCACTTAAAATATCCAAACCTTTCAAAGTAAATGCATGAGCTATGTGGCCTGTATCCTGCTGGTGTTTCCTGTGACATACTGGGAATGCTACAACCATGTGCATAAATCATGAAAAGATATTATTAATTTAGAATTGTAAACAGGACTCCTTTATTGGTACTCTGGAATGAGTGAAGGTAGATGTCTGAAAAATATTTGATTTGCTTTTTTTTTATCAATTCAGTATGAGCAAGCCCAGCTACAACCTGGATGTACCTGGTGATCAAGAAATTCCTTAATGTCTTGTTGGTGCATCTTGCTCATTCATTCAGGGTTAAATCAAACACTAGATAAGGGATCAGGAAGGCGATTTCTCCCAGATCATTTTCCCCTCTGAAATAAACAGCTATTACATGGATTGCCTCTCCATGCAATGGACGAATACAACAAAGGGACTGGAGAAGAGCAGAGCCACAGAGACAGATAAAGAAGTCAGGGACAAAATATTTCTTCTGACATTTAAAATAGGAGAGGTAAAACCAAATGAAAAGGGGCTATACATAACAGGCAGGGGAGGCAGAGAAGTGAGAGCACGTGGCAGATTTGAGAAGGGGTGCGCTCCTCCCTTTCCCACCCCCTTGCTCCTCTCCTGACCCGGCTCTGTGATGCAGGGAGCCGCAGACAAGCATCTCCACAAGGTACGGAGCAGTGGGGGACAGAGGTTGGGGAGAGGGCCTGCCTGGGGAGGGTATAACGGGCAGGAGGGGGGTCACCTGCAGCCCCACCATTAGGACACAGTGTCATGGACCCTCTCAACAGTTTGTTCACAGGAGTTGGGCTAAAGCCCCATTTAAGTAATGGCGAGTAACATCAAAACTGGCTCTGAAAAGTGGATGTAATGAAAATGTAGCTGGCTATTGTGAGACATGTTTTTCAAACATGGCCCTTTACACAGGATATCCCCTTCAGTCCACAGGGGAAAATGCTAGGGCTATTGTAAACGCTTAATTACAACACAGCAGCGCAGCAGTTCCCACAGCTCACTTTCAGCTCTTCCCTTGTATGGGCTTCTCCAGGACTGACAGAAAACCCTGTGTGGCAGCAGCAAGACCAAAAAAGACAAGTCACAAGTCGCAGTTTAGGACCATTTGTTTCTGCCCCGCTGCTCAGTTTGACATGGGGAGGCCTCTGCACCTCTGGGAGTTTCAGTTCTTAGCATTTCTCTTCATAGCCAAACATGCTGCTCAGGTGTTTTGGTAAACCTGTATTCACGATGGTGAGCCAGGATGCTAGCCCGTTGCATAAAGCACACACAGCCCATTGCAATGCTGGCTTTATACAGAGATCGGCTCTGATACCGGGGACCCTCAATCCCAGAAAAGGTGGGAAAAAGTTGGGGCCAGCAGGAGTTGTTGGGTTGTCCTAGGAATATGGCTGCATGCTCAGATCAGGAGCCCACAACTAGACCAGCATGCTTGGTGTGGTTGGGAACGCTCCTGGGTCCTGCAGCCAACTGGCTCGCAGTGGCCCGTGCTGTGTCAGTGACCTCTCCTAGCCTCCCAAAACGAGATGGCTGTATGCAGAGCGCCGACTGGGGACGGTCCCAGGGGTGTGAGAACTGCCAGATGGCCCCAGGGAAAAGTTCAGGCAAATGTTAATTGGCACGGATCAAAAGTGTGTCAAGGACCCTGTTAACAGTGCAGCAGGACAGACGGTCATGGCCGGTGCCTGGGAGCACTCTGCAGCACTGTTTGCTTTGCTAGGCTGGCGGTAGCCACAGTCTGTCACTGTACGGTGCCCCGGAGGATCTCCTCGGAAAGGTAGTGTGAGCCCCCACCCTGCTAAGCACTCCAGCAGCGGTTTCTTGTCCTCCTCCCGCATGTGGCGCATGTCCTGGTGGGCTTCAGCCATGCAGGATGATTCTGGCTAGCGGTTCTGAGGTTGAGAAACTTGTCTGTCCTTTACAAATGTAATTAAAAATTGCTCAGAAAAGAGTCAGATGCCTAGTAGCTTCTACTGGATGAAAGAAAACATCACCCAGTTACCTGCAACTGCTGATCTAATGCAGCCTAGCCTGTTTGTGCCCCACTTTTAAACCAACTACAGCTGGTTGAGTTAGGGACTGCACCCAAATAAAACAGCAGCACACGCATTTTAGGGAATCTTGCACCTCTATCTTCCTCCCAGCTGTTTATCAAGCCAGAAAAGTGTGTGTTGCTGAGGGGTGGTCCAATATTGTACTAGTGCTTCACGTTTCAGTCATTTTTCTGTTATCTAGTGCACCCCGGGGCTCTAGTAGCTCGGATGTGCGATAGAATGAGAAGACTGCAATGGTGAGTTTTGAGACATCTTTATGTATGTGTGCAGACACATGCACAGGGTACACACAACCTCGATTTAAACTGTGGGAAATTTCTCCTCAGGGAGTTTGTGGGTACCTGTTGAGGTACCTGGTTTCCTAAGAGGATAATGCC